CGGGATGGTAGTGATGAAGCAAAGCCTCATGATGGGGAGCAGCACTGGGATCAGTCCCTGGGGATGCTGTCCCTGTGAAGCCGGGGACTTTTGGGGTGCGCTTCGCCCGGTGACCACTGCTTCCCCCTGTCTTTTCAGTTTTGGGTAGGTGTTTGCAAAAAAACTTTTCAACCACATCCCGGTGAGCCCCAAGCTGCTCTGGCTACTGCTCCTCTCCGTGTGCCACGTGCCCATCCCCCAGGACCTGGGAAGGGAGATGCTGGGGCGATTTGTGGGGTAACAAAAATTACCCTGATGAGGATTTTTTTTAGGAAAGAGGAGGACCAGGAAAACCCTTCCATGACGGGGAGGCCAGAAGCAGCATCTCTCTGGGCCTCCATCTGCCTCCGACTGTCCCCCAGGCACCTTCTGTGGTCTGAACAGTAATGTCTTCTCTTTTTCTTTTTGAAAGAAGGAAAAAAAACCCGGAAAAAAAAAGGAAGACACCCCTCTTTCCCCCAGCAGGGCACCCGGACGAGGCTGGGTCGGGGGAGCAGCAGCGAAACCCTCCCTGCGAGCGCAGCCAGCTTGCTGATGAGATAAAGGCAGAACGTTTTTCTTTCGATTATAGTAATCGTAGGTGTTACTTGTAATAACAGGTGATAAGATCTTTTGGAGACAGTGAGGATGTTGTCAGGTTTGGGGTTGGTTGTTTTGTGTTGGGTTTTTTTTTTTTTTTTAGAACCAGACAAAAATTTCATCCTGGGAGATGTTTCGGTGAGGGTGAGAGGGGGGAGCGGAGTGGGGTGGATGCGCCTGGTGGTCCCTCGGCGGGGTGCCTGGGCAGAGCGGCTGGAAGGATGCTGGGGCAGAGGGTGGGGAAGAAAGGGAGGGCGTTTTTAGCGGAGAAAAAGCTGGTGGGTTCCCCTGCGTGTCCCGGCTGCTTCCCTGAGCCCCTCTTTGGGGACGGGGAGTTTCCAGGGGGAGCGAAACCCTGGCCTGGCAGGGCTGAAAATAGCCAAAGCTGGCACTCGGCTCTGCGGAATTGATTGGGCTGCTCCCGGGCTGGGTTTTTTTTAATCATTATTTATTTTTTTCAAGCTGACTTCTGCTGCTACGCATCCTCCCTGGGGAAGCACCTCTGCTTTAGGAGAGAAGGGGCGATGCTGGTGTTTTCCCGGAGCTCGCCAGCGGGGAAGGCAGAGCCTGTAGGCTCTGGATCCACGCTAGCATCACTGCATCCTTCTCCCAACCTAGCATCCCATAGGGATAAGCCGGGATGGCGGAAGCGAAGGCAGGCACGAGGTTGGGGCTGGCCTGGGTGACGGCGGGTGACGCGCTCGGCAGGAACCGCTGGCTGTCACATGAGGCCACCATAGGCAGCGGTGCCTTTCGGGGGGCCGGTTGGCAGTGGCCCCGGAGCTCGGTTGCTCTCCGGGGCGTGTGGTTTCCTCCTCTTTGGAAAGCCTCGGCTTTGAGGCAGAAATTAGGTACCGATTAAAGAAAGAGATCGGGCTGCTGCTTAAAAGTCGCCCTCGGGAGGAAGAAAGTCTTCGCCGAAATATAGAAGGGGGCGTCAGGGGCTCTGCAAAGGGGAATTTCTGGTACCGTGAACCGCCTCCCCCTGTAAAGCTGATAAGCAAGTTTGTCGTGCTATATTTATAACGATGCCACTGTCTGATGCCATGAATGTCCGCAGGCCGGGAAGGTAAAAATGCTGGGACCGGCTAAAGCGCGTTCCTCTTGGCAAGGTTTGCTGGGACGGTTTCCTCTTTAAAAGAGGAAAGAAAAAAAACCCTCTGTAATATAAAGGCTCAAAAGCTTGAAGGCAGGCTATAAATTTTGTATCCTCTCTGCATTTATAAAATATAAATGCTGGTGACATTCGTGAGCTGAAAGCCCAAACAACCGGCCTTCGGGATTGGAAAGATCCGGCTCCCACGCGGGGTGGAAGAAGGCTTTTCCCACCTCCAGGTGGGCTGTGGTCCTGGGATGGACCCTTGGGCATCCCTTCCAGGTGATGCTCCCTGGCATCCCAACCCTGGGCAAAGCTCGGCCAGGACTTTCCAGCTGGAGGCACGTATCGGATGAAATCTCCATCCTCTTGCTTTTTCTCCTTTGGCTATTTTAGAATAGCGACGTTGGAGCGCCCAGCCGGTGGGAAGCGCTGACTCAGCACTTTGGGGATGAGCTGCTCCTTGAGCCACACCCGGGGCCGGCTCCTGCTCAGCGTCCCCACGGGGTGCGGGATGGGAAATGGGGCCGAAAACCCCAGCGATGGGAAATTCCCTCCGCAGGGATGCAGGGGCACCTCTTCTTAAACCAGGTCCTTCCAGACTTCAGCCGAATCCCTCTAGGGACTGATGGAGGGCTGTAGTTTATTCCCGATTTTTCTTGGGCTGCCTTTCAGACTGGCGGCATCCAGACCCTTTGCTGAAATTTTTGCTTCACACCAGGCGTAAATTCGGAATTTAACCAAAAATCAGCTTGAAAGCAAAGAGAGTTTGAGCTGAGGCCGTTTCGGGGGGCTGCATTCCCAGCTGATGCTCTCCGGTCCAGCATCATCCAGCACCTTCCCTTGAGTCCTGGCCACCTCCATGGCAGTGTCCCCAGGCTCACGGATGTCATCAAGCTGGGTTTAGGTGCCATCTCGAGAGGCTTCTCTTCATCAACAGCCCCCGGGGCTGGCTGGGGAGACAATCAATGCAAAGCGTGGCCCAGACACTGCGGTGATGGGCTTCACTGGAAATCCCAGCACTTGGCGTCGGGTCCCCAAACTCTGTCCTTAGGATGAGCATCTGAGCCTCAATTTCTCCTCTCTGATGCCAAAAATAAAGCGACTTGTGGCGCTCTGGGGGAAGGTGAGGGAGGTGGTGGCAGCGTGACGCCTTTTCCGGAAGGGTCCAGACATGGCTGCAGTGGAAACGGGGCCGCGTTCGCACCCGCTCTCTTCCTCCCCTCGGTTCTACCCCTTATGTTCTCCCTCCTCCCGCCTCTGCCAGCCTTGCTCCTTGTTTCAGTTCCTCCTTCCCAAAATATTTTGAGCTGCTGACAGCAGGGCTGGGAGCAGTGACCGCTGATGGCCCTGAATCGATATGATGAATTAATAAATACCTGGGTGGTTTTTGGGGTGTGGAGGCAGGGATACCCCACCTGTATCCCGCGCATCCCGCTCCGTGCCCCCAGCCCGGCGCGACCCCAGCGCCCCGGCCCAAGAAAGCCTGTTTTGATGCCGGGGCCGGTGACTTCATCTCTTTCTGGGGGTCAAAGCGGCGAGAATAAAGCCGGGTTTGTTCCCCTCCCACACACCAGGGCAGGATGCGACCCAGCCCAGGGCCTCGGGGAGCTGCCGGCGGCGGGGGGAGCACAACACCCCCGGTCAGAGCATCCCCCCGGGACTTACGAGCTGGCAAGAGCTCCTATGTCCTGGAGTGCTGATGGGTTTTACCCTGCAGGGAACAGATAGATTTTATTTCTTTTGGATCCCAGGCCTGGGAAGCTCCCAGAGCTGGATGTTTCCACACGTGGCTCACCAGGCACCACGGGAGAGCTGGGCTCCGGCTGCATAGCCCCTGGTGCTGCCGGGGAAGGGACCGGGATGCTCGCCGAGGTGTGAGCGTGGGGCTCGGGGGAGCTGCTCCTCGCCGGCTGGATCTCCTCGCTGCCCTGTGCCTCAGTTTCCCCCTTGGTGCTGCAGGGACCAGGAACCGGCTTGCTGGCAGCCCGCGGTTGAGGAGGCTTTGCCGGATGAGGCTGGGGGGATTTTGGAAGGCAGAAGCAGTTGTACACTTGCCGGGCAGAGGGTTTGAGGCTTCTCACTGGTTCCCAGCTGGTCACCACGGGGCAGTCACCACCTTGGACTGGGGAACGGGCTTCAACTGCTCCTGGAGGTCGTCTCTGCTCCCTTCCCATCCCTGGGTATCTCCAGCCCTCTGGACCCTGCTGGTTTTTTCCTTGGATTGTTGGTGCAGATACTGCGGCAGCCACACAGCACGTAAAACCTCTGCTCTTAAGAAGCTGGATCCATGCAAATACCTTATAATCCGGGTGAGCAGCTCTGTGCTGGTCCAGTCCCCGGTGGCAGGGGGGGTGAGCAGACCTGGAGCTCCCACCTTCACATCATTTTAAGGAGATTTTGGGAGCAGCACCTCGGGACAGGACCTGTTCCCTTCTTGGTGGTAGAAGAGATGCTTGCATGGCCCGGAGAGCATCCTTTGCTCCTGTGCGTCGTCCTTACGCAGCCCTCCCCGCCATGCCCCCTTCTCAGTCGTCCTTTTTCCCGACAGGTCTCATGGTACCAAGTGACGTGTCCCCCCTGTGAGATTCGTGCCCCCCAACCTCCTGAGAAGATGTCAGGGATGCAGGTAAGCGCCGGGCAGGGAGGAGAGGCAGGGATGGAGCGGGCTCGCCAGCCATTCGGAGATGACCCCAGGGCTCAGGAGGGACATGGGGACACTTGTCCCTGTCCCCGTCATGCCCCTGCAGAAGCCCAGCACTGCAAGGACCTGCAGTTGGTGTGTCCCTTTCCATCCCCATCCCAGCCAAAAAACACCATCTGAGCTCCCAGGCTGCCCAAAATCTCCCAAACTACTTCTGGTTTAAGTGAATCCCATTCAGGTTTGCATCAGAGGGTCGGGAACCCCACGTGCCCATGGGGGGATCCCCCGTGGGTCGAAGGAGGTGGGAGCTGTGCCCAGCCAGGCTCTGACGCCGTCCTCCTCTCCCCGGCCAGGCCGTTTGGCCATCCGGTACAGAATGTATCGCCAAGTACAACTTCCATGGTACCGCCGAGCAGGACCTGCCCTTCAGCAAAGGAGACGTCCTTACCATCGTCGCTGTCACCAAGGTAAGGTCATCGCCTCCCCATGGCCCCCCCACGGCTGCTGCCGCCACCCCCCATGCCGGGATTTCCACGGAGTGCCGGAAGTATCCCTGTATCCTGCGTTTGCCGTGCTGGTGGGATCCCCTGGTCCCGCTGGAAGTCCCGCAGAACCCACAGGGCAGGAATCGGGCCACGCGTTCGGTTAATTAACTCACGGCCTCGTTAGTTAAGGTTTCTCCGAAATGCAGGCCTCTTGAGTGCCTCCCGGGAGGTGGGGGAGGGAGGGGAGAGGATTGCAATTGGGGAGTGATGCTGTGCTTGGTGCTGGGGGAGAAAGAGAGGGGCCACGGGTCAGGGGGCTCCGGGATGCTCGGCAGCCCGGGAAGGGGATCGCAGTGACCCCCACGGGGCCACCGGCATCGGGGTTTGCTGGCCCCGGCACGGACCCTGACCTTTGCGGCTGGTTCCTCTCCCGCGGCTGTCCCCTGCCCTCCCCATCCTGCTTGCGGCCGGGCAGGGGGTACCGGGGTGCCCGAGGACCTGGGGCAGCTGCCTGGGAAAGGAGGGGCAACCCCCATGGGCTCCTTTGGTGGGACCCTGCCCTCTCCAGGGGCCGCAGGGCTCGCGGTGACATCTCTGCTGTCCCCGCAGGATCCCAATTGGTACAAGGCGAAGAACAAGGTGGGCCGGGAGGGCATCATCCCCGCTAACTACGTGCAGAAGCGGGAAGGAGTGAAAGCTGGGATCAAGCTCAGCCTCATGCCGTGAGTATCCGCCGGGGACTTGGCCGAGGTGAATTTGGGGGGAGCTGGCTTGGTCTGGAGCATCCCTGCTGTGTCAGCCCAAAGATGCCGTTGACCCTGTGTGCCATGTCCCAACAGAAGCAACGTCCCTCACAGGGCTTAGCGAGGTTGAAAGGCAGAGGGGACAGGGGCTTGGGCTTTGCCAGCAGCGTTGGTTTGGGACCCGCTGCTGCTGGGGAAAGCTCTGAGTGTTTTTGGAGCTGCCTGCAGAGCTGGGAAGATGATGGATGGTTGGATTGCGTTTCAAAATAGTTGAGGTTGTAAAGGCTGCTGGGAGAAAGAAGGGGGATTGGAATGCGGTCTGTATGGGAGCGATAGGAGATAGGCAGGGAGATGGATGGATGGTTTTGATGTCCCTGCTGCATCCCAGAGCCACCAGTGACCCGCAGTGTGGAGGAGCTGGGGCTGCCGTGAGGAGGAAGCCCCCAAAGGTGTGCGGAGGGGCCGAGTCCCGGGTTGGGGAGCAGGAGGAGGGGAGCAGGACGCCGTGGAAGGAGCCGTGTCGTGGGGTGGATGGGAGCAGCAAGGAGGAGCAAGTTGGCCCGGTGCAGGCAGGGATGAAGGCTGCTCCCCATCCCCATCCCCACCAAACATGGCCTCACGGGGGTCTGGCCAGCCCATCCCCGGGCCTTGACCTGCCTTACGTGCCCCGTTTCAGGTGGTTTCACGGGAAGATCACGCGGGAGCAGGCGGAACGGCTGCTGTATCCCCCCGAGACGGGGCTTTTCCTGGTGCGGGAGAGCACCAACTACCCCGGGGACTACACCCTGTGCGTCAGCTGCGAGGGGAAGGTGGAGCACTACCGCATCATTTACTCCTCCAGCAAGCTGAGCATTGACGAGGAGGTCTACTTCGAAAACCTCATGCAGCTGGTGGAGGTGAGGTCTCACCTGCAGCCCCCCGTCCCCCTCGGCCAACCTGGGGACCGTAGGGTTGAGGTTAACGGGGGACACGTGGGAATCAGAGCTTGTGGGGACGCAGGTCTGGAGCCCAGGAGGTGGTGGGACCTTCTCTGCCCACCCTATGGGGACAGACCCCTGGGGCAAGGGACAGGGGCAGGAGGAAGGGGGTGGCTGGATGGACAGGGCAGGATGCGCAGGGGACAG